GCTATATGGTTATCTTGTTTGGGGATTCTGGTGGCCTTTAAACAAAGCATTGGCCCTTGCATCTGGTTACCCTCACTGGTCCCAGCAGAGCAGTTACTTAATGTTTTAAAACTGTTTCAGTCATCTTTGAACATGTAAAATTAGGACAGCTGTTCAATCTGAATTCAGGAACACTTAATCAAATGTTTATGGTCACCGATCTTAAAGCTCTGCTGTCTAAGGACTATGAACAGCTCTACTGGCTTTTCAAAGAGGTTTGTCAAAAGTATTTAGGTTGCCAGCATCAGAATTCCTTGGAACTGTTGTTCGTGCACTGGCAATCTGATTCAGGAAGCTTATGCAGTCTAAATTTTCTAGCAGTTAGGGTTTGCCTTCTATGGAGTAAGTGACTGAACCAACACTTCCCACCCAGTCTTCAGTTTATGGTCTAGGAGCCTGGGGACAAGACACAGGTGTTTAAGCTGGCACTGGTCAAGGATAATTTGACAGAACCATCAGAACAATCACTTGAGATTCTGAGTTGCTGGAGTATTGGAAATCTCATTTTTAAAGGTAAGTAATGCAAACAGGAATCTGACAAGAATTTGATTTTGCCGGTCTGGTGTCTTGACTTTGAGAGTAGACTGAGGATCACAGTTCAACCTATGCGGGCTTCTACAGCTCCACATGCCTGTGGAAGCATCTACAGTAAAAAGGAGAGGGCCCTCTCCATGATGAAAGACTGTCGTGGCCAAGTTATTTGCCTTTCGTAAAAGGAGTGGTTGAAGACTAAGTGAAAAGGCCACCTTTATTTATGGCCACTTTAGCTGCTCCCTGCTTGGAGTGTTTTAGTCACAGGAATCAAAGCTGCTGGTTCTGTTTAGTTTGTTCTCCATGTTGCTGTTATGTAAATGAAATGCCTGATTCTAGGTCTGTATTGAAGTTTTGTAGCCCTGTTTACATATAAGCTGCAGAATGGGAATGATAGATTTCAGTACTGGCTGCTAATGGAAGGATGTCTTCTCAGGTACAGTGGGCCAAGTGTGATGGAAGCCAGTGGCATTGGTCATGAACCTTTTGGCTGAGGTGTGCTTCCATGTCTTTTTGCAATTGTGGAACAGTAATCCTTAGCTCACTCTAGGCAGATTTCTGGGATATATGTGTAGGAATACTGAAGTTCCAAGTTGAGCTTCTGATAGCTATACGAAACAATCCTTCATCCTGTCTGATAAATATGGTGGAGGTTCTTATGTTCTGTATACTAGCAAAAAACCCCATCTTTGGCATGACACTGTAGTAAAATGGCTGTTGGTGTTTTATTCTAAATGGGGCAGTGAGGTGGGAGATCTTAGGCCTAAAGACTAATGTTCCCTTAATGTGTAGGCTTAGGGGGATATCCTATTGATCCCTGATGGGAGGGAATGAAGACAGATAATTCTCAGTAGCATCCACTGGCAGGACAAGGGGCAGTGGGCACAAATTTGAATACCAAGTTCTGTCTGAACAGGAGAAAAGACTTCTACAGTGAGAGTGATAAAACTTAGGTTGTGGAGTCTGTGTAGATTTAAAACCTAGCTGATGAGGTGCTGGGCAAATGGCTCCAGCAGATTCTGCATTGAGCAGAGGCTTGTACTAGGTAATCTGAGAATCATTTATCTTGGCACACACCTCTTGAGAAGTGAAAGTGCCCCTGTTAGCTTCCTAGGCTTACCATGATCTAACCCTACTTCCATATGGTGGTCTTCCCCAGCAAGGGAAGATGCACAATTGCTTGCTACAGCCTGATAAGCTTTAGAGTATGTCACATCCTGGGGACCTCACTGCCACTGTCCAAGTTTGCTTGGCCCCGGCAGATGAACCTCAGGATTAAAGGGTGGGCTCAGTTCAGCGCACGCTGTGTCTCACCTAAAAAATCCACTGCGCAGGCTCGAAGGGTTAATGACCTTTCCCAAATCTTCGCTCGCGAAGACTGGCCATTATATGTCTCTTAACTCATCCTAGTAGTGTTAGGAGTCACAGACAGGACTAAGGCACGGTACCTCAAGGTTGCAAGCTGTCCTGAAAAAAATACTTCCCTAGTCACTTGTGACTGTGGAGTTTTGAAGTGGTAAATATGTGACTGGATGAGGAATAGTAACTGACAAGTTTGCATCCTGTTAAGATAACTGCCAGTAACTTAATGATAGCTAATGGCTAAAGGAGAAGGTAAGTGAGGATTAAGGGCCTGCTAATAAGATCAGTCTTATTATTTGAGTGATACTATAGCTCAGAAGGCAGATGAGCATGTAATACAGGAGTGGACCTGCTACAGGCAGTGCACAGGGGGTATTTATTTAGTCTTTTGGCCACTGGTGTCCAAAGAGTTGGCTCTTAGGAGTGAGGCAGCTGTGTTTATGTCGTATCACGCTGGCCCACTCAGAAATTGTTTGCTAACAACCTGGACGCAATGAGAAGCAAAATTGCTGCTTGCTTGTATTTATGTTTATCACCTCCATGACTATACCATGTTTACTGGACAGTGACTCAGTCCACTTAAAAGCTGTGTTAAACTGGTTTACTGAGTAAGTGAAGGGAGTTCCATAATTCAGGATTAACCTCATTGCTCACCATTTCCAGTGAGGGTGGGTGGGAAATAGTAGACACTTTAAAACTTCTCCTTGAAATACTGTGTTTAAAAATGGCATTTCTGTTGAAGTCTTCATGCTCTAGTGGACAGTTAAGGAAGTTTGTCAGTCTGTCAAACAATAGACTTATCAGTTAAAAATGGTCAGCTCAGCAAAACTACTGTAAAAATGACTCTTGAAAAGTAATCCTTTTTTACCAAGTGGGAACAGTAGGTATTTGAGATGACAGTGAAGATGAATATGCTGGGGAGTGCAGTCTGAGTACAAAGAAAAAATGTTATGTTCAGCTAAAAGGGGCAGTTCCAAAAAAACTTGGGTACTGCACATTAAACCTGTGCTTTAACAGAACCTTGAAGAGATTGAATCACCTTTAGGTTTGTTAAAGTAACTGTATATCATATCATAGCATCTCCCTAGCTATCTCTTTTCTACTTACACCTATATCATCAGTACAGATTTATGACTGGAATGAGAATAACCATCTGCACCAGTTTCTGGTTTTGAAAAACGTTCCTGCAAGAATAGTCACAGCCTGTCAGGTTATCTGTTTGCTCTGAGGGCCTTAATTTTCCTGTATCCCATAAGGGTGAGTCTGATGTCATAGTGTCATCTTCAGATGATGTAAATGGCAGTTTGTATTTGAAATCCATGACTCCCTTTAGCTGCTTCATATTAAAAATAATTTCTGTGTTTTTTTCAATATGAACTGTGGAGAAGAGGGCATTTATTTCGCTGTCCTAAACTTGAGATTCCTGAGATACTGTTCAAGAAGTTGTGCAAAGATCAACTGGGATACCTTCAGATGTAGAAGATTGGTAAAGATGACTTTAATGGCAGTAGCCTAAAGATGAGGCATGTTCCTTGCAAAATTCTGATTGGATGATGTGACACAATAACTCTTGATAACATTATCAATAAGTTTCAGCAGGCTGTTGAAGAATGGGTCTGCTTTTCTCTGCGTGCTGTGTGTATGTCAAGTAGCAGATAGTTCCTGCTCTTAGATCCTGCCATACAAACAGGATGTCATGCAGTGTTATATAGTGACTGCACACTGATAATTGGCTTTTTTTAGGAGGAGCTGAACTGGAAGTAAGAGTGAAAGAAGGGGACAAGAGTGAAAAAGACGATAAAAGAGTGTAGAATTAGGAGAATAGCATGGGAGGAAGAGAAAATAGGTTTGATGCAACATCTAATAATTGGTGCAAGACAAAGTCCACTGCTATTTTCTTAACAATAGCAACACCCTAGGGCTAGAACCCCTGCCTTACCCCTGCAGGGTATTCTCAAACGGCAAGGGTGGTAGCTGGGTTTGTTGTTGCACTTCTAGTAGCTCCTGTAGCTGGAATAGAGTATTTAGGTTGTTCCAATTGCATAATTGTCATCTTGCAGATCAGACCTTTGGGTAGGCATGTGCTTGCTCAGGAGTTAAACTTCCCTATTAGTAAAACAGTACTTTTATCAGTAGGAATTGACACCTTGATCAGCAAACAGTATCAGTTCTCCATTCAGACCTCTCCCTTAGTCATTTAGGTATCACCAGCTTGTGGTGCTGGCTGGTTCCTTGTGTGACAAGGTATTCCCCTTCCTTCTGGGTCTGACAAGCTCTAAATTTGGATTAGTCACTGATTGTATTGTCAAAGCAGCACATCCCTGGTCTTGTTGTACCTTCTTAAAAGGCACATGCTTTGTGGCAGCCAGAAAGCAGCCCTTAAGAGAAAGAATTTCTACTAGCTTTTTATGTCTCCGGGATTGTAGAAAAGTTATCTGTTTCTGGGATGAGAGCTAATTTTTTTTTTTTTAAACTAAGAGGTTTTTTCCACACTATTAAAAGACACTGCTATGGAGATAAAAGGGGGAAGAAAAAGAGGTTCAGTGATCTCCCCTCCTCCCAGTCTGTCACAAATTGTGAAAATCAGAAGATTTGCAACCCCAGGAAGACCAGGGTGTTTCACAGTTTCCTCTGTTTCTAAGGTCTTCCAGCCTCTGACTACTATAATTCTTTTTTCTATTAAATAGACTCTTTTTCTACTATTTACTAAACCTGAGGCCTTCAAAATACCTTTGAAGCTCCCTGTGTGTGAAGTGGAAATGCAGTTTCTTGTTGCAGCCAAATCAGTCACACAGACTGGAAAATTGTAAGTCAAGGTCTACTCTGAAGCTCTGGGGTCAGTGCAGTCTACAGTGATTCAGAAGGTCTTGAATATGCTTAAAAATAAAGCCAGCTGATGGATCAGGATGTGACAGTTTCCAATAACTTGGAATTGATTCACAGAGCACTGTAATATGTGATTAGAATTTTTCCTTTTTTAAAAGATGGTAGAATTAAGACAGAACCGCACAATTGGTTTGCAATTTCAACTCTGAGAACGCTAGGCATTTTTCCATGGAATTAATATTGGCATTTATTTATACATATGTTGCACTTTAAAAGGCTGCCAAGATAAAAATTATTAGAGGATTGTCTTCTGTTGACTCTCTCTGTGGAAGCCATCCCCACCACACAGGTTAACAAGCCACTTTGCAGGATCATCTGAAAGCAAGAGTGAAGGAACACTTTCAGCAATTTTTGTTGTTTTAATGATTCATTATTCTACCAGTAGGACAAGTTTTCTTCATTTCTGAAATGGACTGTGATGCCCAGACTAATCATCCAGGGAAGTTACGCCTGTCTGCTAGCTTTTCCATTCTCTCCCACCCTCATGCTATAGCAGCATAACTGGATTGATGCTGTGGGGTTTCTGCTGGCAGTGGCTTCCCTAAAAGCCTTTAAAATCCTTTTGTGGTTCTTTATTGGGCTTTGGGAAGAATGCTACCAAATAATTTCCTTCTGGCAGCTTTTTCTTTCCCTTGAATTTGCCCACGTTCTGCCCTTCCCTAAAGCTAAGGAGACCCATTTCCACATACCCTGAAGAAATCTTCATATGACCTGAAAAAGAAAAGCTGGAGGTCCCTCACAGGATGGTCCAAATTGCCATGGTGTAGATTCACCACTTATCTGGCATAAATTACACTTGAGCATGGGTTTTATTGGCAAGGTTCTGATAAATTCCGTTTGGCCACCGAAGAGACTTATAAAATGTTTTTGCTGGTTTGCTCTTGTTAGAAAGCAATCTTCACTACAAAAGCAATGAAATTGGGGAACACTGGGGAGTAGGGGGGAGGTTTCATATCCATGGCCCTTGCTTTCTTGGCTGCCTCTGTCTAAAGATAAGTCTGTGGGCTATGCTAGCAGTTAAACAATATAAAAAGCAGTCATTTGCTCATGAAGCAGATTGGAAGTATCTACATCAATCCTGAGACCTTATTGCTCATCTGCATCTGAGAGAAAAGTACCTCCTTGCAATCTGTCTGTGAAGTGTAGGCAAGCAGCTATTGAGGGAATTTGCTGAACAGTCTTAAGCAAACTGGCAGTTCTCAGAGAACATCTGATGCAATTACATTTTATATCAGAAGCCTGGGGAAAATGCATCCAGTATTCAAAAGTGTGTGTTTATTTCTTCAGCCCCCGTCCAGCCATCTCTTCTGCACCCAGCCAGAGTAGGATGTTTTCACCAAAAATGCTGATAGTTATATCCATTCACTGTTGGCTTGGTAAGATGAAAGGAGTCATATAAATGGCATCCTCTGCTTGAGTTGCACCTTGTTTCCTCAAAGGGGAGAGGCAGACTCTATCTTGCCAGTCATCCTCTTGGTCTTCTTTTCTGTTCAAAATATTGAGCAGGTGTGTTTAATTGTTTGATGAACTCCAGCAATTCTGACCTTTTCTGGTCCACAGCCATTCTTGTGAGATAAAAGTATCTCTGTTTGTTGGCAAGATGAAGTTAACTCCACTGCTCAAAAGCTGTCTATCCTTGTGAGCAGTATTATTTTTTTTTTGCCGTGAATCTCTGTGCCTGAGATAGCATAGGGAACAGGAGACTGGTGTGAAAGGTATGCAGCAACGAAGCTCTTTACCTCTTGAACAAAGATTTTTACCTCTTCAGTAAAGCTTAGAAGGCTGTTCAGGGCACCTACAGAAGACCATTGATTACATCCTGTGTAAACCTGTTACCAGGCAGAAAATGGCCCCAGTTCAGATCCTTAATGTTGCTCACGATACATGTATATTCTAACTCACTCATCGGGGGAGGGCCCATCTCCTCTGCTGACTTGCAGCCTCCAAGCAGATCCTAGCCAGGAAATTCTTTTCCCAGCTTACTTGCTCTTTGGCACAGCATAGCAATCTCAGTAATGTGGGGATGAAAACAAAAGTGGCATATGAATTTTGAGCCATTCCATCAAGCTACCCTGCAGCAATGAGTCTGACAGTCTCAGCTCAATTGAAATTAACTTACCAAAGAGGTTTGGATATTTGCCTTTTATAGTTCTTCCATTTTTGCTTGAAGACTTACATATTTAATTTTTTTCCTAAGGTGTTTATTTTTCCCCCAAGCATTCTCAACTATACAGAGCAGTTTTGTACAATTGTTTAATTATGAATAGTGCTTTAGAAAAGCATTGGAACTTCAGCTCTATGGGGACCTGTGCTTAAGCAAGATCAGAACCTTGAAAGATACCTCTGCAAATGATGGGACCTACTTGTGAACCAGTTTCTACCTTCAGTTCCACCATATTGTTCTTCTCTATTGTGTGGAAGTCTGGGAAGAATCAGTAGCTTGACGGTCCTGTCATCCTCCTTTCTCTGCTGACATTTTATTCCAGGATATTAACAGCACACCAGAACATTAAGTCCTCAGCTCTCTTCCAGCTCTCGGGTTCGCATGCAAGTAAGTAAATCAGATGAAAATTATGTGATAGGGAACCTGATTTATGTATTTCAACACTGAAGCACACCTGTGACTCCCATTTATATGCTTCAACTGAAGGCCACTGGAGTCTCCTGGTAATTTCAGTGGTCTCTGGATCAAGCCCTCAGTTTGACAATCTGTGTGGTAGGTCCTGGTTCAGCATATTCTTAAGGATATGTTTAATTCCATCCCCATTTAATAAAGCAATTAAGTGTGTGATTAACTTGAGTAAGAGGTTGAAGCCTGTGCTGAAAGTCAAGTATGATCTCTACTGAACTTGGACTTAAATAGTAATTTACACTAGAGGCTATCCCCATCCAGCATCTGGTAAATAGGGCTTCTGCAGACACACAGCCCTGGTAGATATCGCTGTGGATACAGATCTTTTCAAAACAGAGCTATCTAAAATCCAACCATTTCCAAGAAAAACACTCTGGCTTGTTTGTGCCCTGTCATGTACACAGGCCCTTCCTTTTACAGTAAATATGGCTACATGAGGGCATTCATAATGAAAACCAGTTATTTTGAAGTAAAAACTGGTAGAAGCAATTAAAGAAATAGGAACAGTGACAACAGTGCCTCAGCTCACCATAATTGCTTCTTTGTATTACAAAGTCCAGGTGGTTCGTTTTGTTCTGTAGTCCAGAACCATCCAGTCCATTTACTTCACTCCAGCATGTACTATGCAAATAAATCTTTCTTCTAATAAAATATGCATGAACATCTGAAATGCAAAACATGTACATAAATTGCCATATGTTGGCTGAGGCATAAGAGCTGTATGTGTGACCTGAGCACGAGAAGCAATTCAAATCAGCTTAGCACAAGCTGAGCTGGCAATCTAGAGGGCTATGAGTGCCTCATTTAAATAAACTTGCACTTGCCAGAGACTAGAGATACTGCTGAATGAGATCCAGTGCATCTCTCTGTGGTGGCCTAAGAAGTTGCCTCCCCCAGTTACTGACATTAGTACTGTCTTGGAGGTTGCCCCTGTTCACAGTAAAATTAGCAGAACTGCCCCACCTTAGTTGCTTTATTGCAGTCTCCTCCTTTCTTTAAACTGCAGGTGAAGTGAAACTTTAGCTAAACTAACAGACTTCACGTTGAAGCTGTTAAAGCATTGACTGTGTTCTCTTGACTTCACTGTGAGCATGACAACCACAAATATAGTATTATTAACCCCTTACATTTTTGCATAAAGGTGTAATAAGTTCATCTGTTAATACCCTAACAATCAACAGCAATTTCATCTCAGCTGGTGGGGGATGTCCTGTTACCCTCACAGCCTAGGCCTGGGCCTTTTGTACTCTGTGGCACACCAGGGCTTCAGTCTTTTAAGCTTGCAAAAAACTGTATTGCAGGAAAATAAAATGTCTTTTTAATGGCAATGAGACGGCTGCTGGAAAAAAGGCAACACATCAACTCATGTTTACAGGATTTTGGCCAAAATGTCTTAAGGTGGGTAATAAGATACTTCAGCTTTCTTTTTGTGATAATTCAATAGTGAAGGTCCTTTATGGGGGGCATAGTGAAAAGCAATATATGCCAACCATCCTCTAAAAAAAAAAAGACACGATAAACAGTGTTTTATTTCTTCCCTTGTAAGGGTTTAAAAGAACTAAGAGTATCTGCCAGACTTAAAAGGAGGTGTATTTTGGCGGTGTGGCTAAGACAAATTCAGATTGTAGATGAGCCAAAGCGTGAATATTTCTGCAGTTGAAAACAGGAGTGAGCGCATTGGATGCATATTATGTCTATGTGGTAGAAAAAAATTATCTGTAAAAATGGTTTCTTGCTTAAATTGCAATTCCATAAAATTTAAAATGCCTTCAGCCCTTTTAGTATTGAGGACGATTCTAATTGCTTCAGTAGTAGCATGACTTCTCTGGCCTCTGTAATACAATTCATAATTTGCTTCAAGAGATCAAACTCAAGGCCACTGCAACTCCATTTTACTACTTCATTGAATATCTTGTGTATGTTGTTCATTAAATTGTCAGCTATCACTGCACAGGCAGGACCAACCCGTGTAACTATACTTCCCATCTGTGGGTCCGGCACCCCACTGAATAGCCTTCTAGCCACACTACTCCCAGTAAATAAAAGAAAGGGGGAAAAAAACCCCCAGTTTGATGTATTCCCTCTGAAGAATGTTTAAGTTACCCTACCACTGGAGTATTACAGAAGGGGCAATTACTTCAAATGGAAGGATTCAGACTTAAAAGCTGGCATTTTCAGTTTACCTGGCTGAACTGGCTAAATGGAAAATGCAAGTATTACTGCAGTCTCTTCTTCCAGCAGAACTAGATGATGGGCCGTGCTGAGCAGATGGAAAATGGCAGTCTCCAGTTGTTACTACGTATCACAAAATGGACATCTGTCATGGCCGGAATTAGGCACCTAAGGGAACCTCTGCATGATCTTCTGCAGGAAGACTTGGGCTTTCTCTGCTCACACCCCAAGCAGATACAGGCTTCAGACTGAAGAAAAGCTGAGCAACTATGGTAAGGGGTCATGAGCATGAGTTAAATACGCCCAGCTTCCCAGCAGGATTACTAGATCAGGTTTGGCACTCCACTAATGAGAACTATGCTCCTGGCTCTAAGTGGCTCATGTCCAGGAGACACAGTTCAGCAGAACCAGTGTGTGACATAGGTGGGATCGGTGCAAGAGACACCAAAATATTGCCTGACCAAAGCATCTTGCCTCCCATGCCCCAGCACACTGTAGACTGTAAATCCAATTCCCAGGTGCTTAAATCCCCTCATTCACTTCAGAGGGATGACAAGCACTTACCTCCATGTTGTGAATGGCAGCATTTCATTTTGCTTTTAGGTATGGCATTATTAGTGTTACAACGTCCAAGATGGCACCAAATATCAATGTGTTATTCTGGAGCTTCCCTGAGGACCAGAATTTGACTTTTTAAAAATTCATATTTTGTTAGGAAACATGTTCAGGGGTCTATTAATCTCTTTACAGCTGACGCTCAAGGCCGTCTGTGCAGCAATTTGTTACAAAGCCACTAAACCTGGCACTTTAATTATGGGATGCCTGTTCTTGCTTCTCTGTTGTGAAGTGAACATGAAGTCATCACTTGTTTCTATTTTTGCCTGAAAATGATTCATAATGTAGAATGTACTGTACTACAAAAGGGATGGAAGAAAATAGTTCCATGATACATGTTGGGAGACAGAAGCAATGGCTTGCTGCTGTGATTCACGCTTGTACTGCCCAGGCTTTCCAAAAATGGCTTTCTTCACAATTAGCCACAAAATCTGTAAACCATAAAAGGAAAACCATCAGTCTAACAGCAAGTGATTCTGGCTGGCTGCTGGAAATAAAGGAAGGTGATAATTCATAGAGCGGGTGAAATGTCAAAACTTACTGGGCATCTTCTCCTAATTACTTCATAATTAGGCAACCCAAACTGGCTGTCTTTGCTCTGAAGCTGAAAAGACCTACTGTGCTTCAAAAATCAATACAGTGTAGTGAGAACCACTCCCTGATAGTTATTAATGGTTTGTCTATGGCATAAGAGCCCTGTATGCAGCCACTTGTTGAGGATAGGGGCATGTAAGGGAAGGCTGAACTGCAGCCCTGCTCCCCTGGGCAGCTGAGGGGCTGCTGCCTACATACTCCCTGTGGAACAGACTTGGCAGAGAGAAGGCAGTGAGTAGGCTGAGCCCTGGCAGATTGCTCTTCCCCCAGCACAACCAAAATCAAAACCAACACTGCTTAGATCACTCAGCTGGATGTCAGCTGAAATATGAAAATGTGGGTGCTGCTTCCTTCAACAAGTCTGCATCTTTGGGACCTCCTCAAGCTTGGCATAACCAGGTACATCTCGAGGACAACATGCTTCTTCCAAGGCTTTTTATAAGATCTGAGGATCTGTAATCTTTGACTAGGAAAAGTTTACAGGAACGAGACAGAGTGAACTCCAGCTATAGCCAAGACACCCCTCTTACAATTTACGAGCAGAATATTTATTAACACGTGCCTCCTGAGAGCCTTTGACGTGTACTCGGCAAAAATTTACATACGTAGCTATAACTACAGAAGCAAGGGCAATTTGATTAGAGCTACTAATTCATTTTTTAAAATTAGAATATTGCTTGTGTATGTTCTGCCCTGTGTCTGTCATACCTAACTCAGCCACGGTCTTGACTGTATTTCTCACAGTACACAGGGAGGCCCTTTTACCTTTCGCGACTGAATTTATTTGCTGAAAAACAATCTTGGGGTACCATTAGTTTCTAGATATCTGATGGAAATGAGAAAAGGGGTTTGTTTGTTTGTTTGTTTATCCTGCAAAACAAATTCTATGCCTTGTCATATTTATAGTTTTAGAAAGAATAGTATCCTTAAGAAAGGAAATAAATATCACTGCAGTTCCTCAGTGTTTATTTGAAACTATAGCAAAGAATTGTATTAATACCAGTTATCATGGGACAGACTTTCTCATTTAAGTAAATGCTAAATTTTATATGAAAATCCTTTAGGATCTCCTTATCTACTCCATGCTGGGTAACCTATTGTGGTAGGAGAGCCATTCTGAGTAAACAGCAACTTCTTAAATGAGTTACAGATGCTGCTATTATAAAATAGTTTGCAACAAATTATCTGTAACACCTTTCAGCCTTGGAATTTCAGCCTGAATCTGGTGTGTTTTATGGATAGACTAGAGCTGCTTGGCTGCTGATTTGGAGAACACCTTTACACTTTCTGTTTATTTTACTGTGTAATTGTTTTGTGCCAGAAATGTTCTCATGTGACCTCAAGCTAACAACTAGTTATAAATGGCATCCCTGATGATGTTTTTGATCATATACCCTAAGTAATCTCCTAAGCAACTGCTCCCCTTCTCAATTTCATCCTCATCATAATGACACAAACTGATGCATTAGTGCTGTGGAGGCTAGCTTTTCAATTTCATAAATGCAGAGCAACATCCTGGGAGTGGCTTAAAATACAGTCACGACCAGGAAAAGGATTTTGGGAAGCAATAACTCCATGTTCTATATTAATTCTGAATTATAAACATAGCAGAATATACACAAGTCCAACTTTCCAGATTTTTTTTTATCCTGGTATTAACTGTCAGGAGAAAGCTCTACGATATTAACAGTCTCAAGTCTATTGCTAAATGTCAGCTTTTCCACATATTTTTTTTTGTCACTTCAACATTGCTGGCATTCTTTTAAGTAAAAAAAAAAAACAGTCTTTTAACAGTCATGATCCCAAGGATCTGTAACTGTCAGGATTAATGGCTCCTGGTTTTTTTTTTTCCTGGGGGCCTGTCTGTGCCAGGAATTGCCTTTCCACTAGTCACCTTTGCTTAATTAATCATCCCCAAGTCAAATTTGCTAAGGGCCCAATCTTTTGTTAGCTGTTATCCAAGGAAGTTGCAGCACTTTCTGGTTTAGCTCAGTGAGAAGGATCATGGGCCTCCAAAAACCAGTTTGGTTATGCTTTTCCTCTTCCCTCCTGCCCATCATGGAAAACCTAAAAGACTCTGATGCTGCAGTGTAGTTTCAGGACAGCCCTGCAGCTGCTGCTGAGGGTCAGGTCAGCACTGCCCCAGCAGTGCTGGCTGCTGCCACCCAGCAGACTACAGGCTCATCTCCTGCATTCACCACGCTCTTCCCTTCTCTGTAGTTCAGTTACAACTGTCACACTTGTAAGGCTTGTGCCTCAAGCTCTCTAGTCCTTTTCTGCAAGGTTTCGAAGCTTGTTTTTCTAGTGCTTGGTCACTGCAGTGTTTGTTTTACCACTTGAGTGGCATCCTGTCTTGTTGACTATTTCTGTGGCTGTCTTTCCTCAGTTGCTCTGCTGCTTGCTTTCTCCAGCACACCAGAAACTTCTGCTTAGCAGGAAACCTTCTTACTCTTCCATATTCCAAAAGCAGAAGGTAATTTCTGTCCCCTTTGGCCTTGCCTGACCAATTTATCTTTTCTTTGATGAACGAGAAAACATACATAATTTATGAACCATTCCCACATGGCTTAACAACATCCAGCCAAAAGAATTTGTTCCTATCTCCCACTGGCCACGATATCTGAATCTGACAAATGTATATAGAAATGTCTCTGCAAGCATAGGAGAAACGTGGCAAGCCTCACCACTTCTCTGGGAGACTGTTTCAATTGGTGGCTATTGGGTGTGATATTAAGGTGCCTGTACCTTCTTTGTTATTTCTCTTTTGAAGCATACATAATAGCTATTATTAACCAGCAGCAATTGAATCCTTGTCCTAGAATAATAACCCATCAATGAAACAGTTGTGGAATGAGAACAGCAGTATTTGTAATGGCAGGGTGCAGCGAATGCTGGCTAGCTTGTAGGTTGGCACATACTCTACCTACTGCCACAGACATCTGAGGTCAAAATGCTTCAAGAGCCAAGAGAAATCTATTAATATCATTCTGAGTGTTGTGGCTAAAGTCCAGGTAAGGAGAGCCTCAGGAAGGTATCTTTAGAGAAGCAAAATTCTGTGTTTCCTATCTATATTATGACAACTAATAATCCACTGTAATTGGTAGCCATTAAATGGTCACTGAATCAGTATCAGCGTGGTTTATCTGCCGTGCAAGTATCAGTAACTGTGTATGTGAAATCTGCCAAAACTGTGGTCTGCTTTGGATGGAATGCTTTCCATTCATAAACCTGCCACTTCTGTCACACTTTTCCCATATTGCTCATTCTTTTTTCCTCTTCTCTCTCTTGTCCGTAGGATTATTCTTAGCTTCCTACTAATTTTTATTTCAAACATACCAACTTTAATCTATCCAATCTTTTATTCTAAATGATCAACGTGAGAAAAATTATGACACAAAATCTAGGGAAAATGCTGCCTAAGTTTAAGAGAGAAGTCCAGTAAGCTCCTTTCTTTTGTAATTATTTAATGTATTTTCTGTTTAGTATTTATCATAACGTTGGTCTTTAGGATACAGGAGTCTAAGCTTTCCAACTAAGATGACAGGAGTATTTGATGGGACATTCATTTATTCAAGCTGATAAAGGCTAATTCTTTGTTAGACTGCAAAGGAAAGACATCATGCAATTTTTTTACCGTGCATCTCATAACATTTTAGATTCAAATGGGACTTATGTGGTTCATGAATTGCCCTTAAATCATCTACATGCTGTCACTAAGCATTTTCTTAACAGCTGTTCTTTCCTTTACTTAATTACTTATCAAATGTCAAAATGTGATGGCTGAGTGAAACGTCCCGTTATCTGAACAAACCCTAACTTCAAAATAATTTTCCGTAGACAAACAAAATGAAGTGCTACATGAAAAATCATGAGATGTTCTGACTGCACAAAAGCTTCATTTTTATGCCTGACTAAACCTGACAATCAAAAAATA